TTCCTCTTATCTAATTGGAGGCTTTTGTAGGTGAAACTAAATGGGTAACCGTGACCACGAATATATTCATCAGTCCATTTGTAGCCTTCACACAAAGTCGTATGAGATATTGGCAATGCGTCAGGTGCAAAAAATGTGCTAAAAGAAAGGAGAATTACGTGCATGTAAATCTGGTTCTGCAATCTGCATGTTGAAATGTTGAGAAGAAGGTGCGACTGGACAATTAAATTACTAACTTGCATAACTAAGAAACTGATCAGTCAACTAACCAGGTCCATGTTAAGGATGACCCTTGAAATGTTGATACTTACCTAGCAGACCAAGGAATTTCTCGTCTTCTACGGAGTCGGAAGGTTCATCACCGCTTCACAAAAGCCCAACTTTGAACCCTACAGAGGACCACTCTAATCTTTTCATCATATTACTTTTCTCAGTTCTATAGAAAATTACATTCCGTTTTGTGTTAGTCATACAACTGGTTTCTTCATGTCAGGTTACATGTAAAATATTTTCTACGCATTCGTTTCCCTATCCGTGCTTCACGCCCCGCTCAACTCATCCTCCCTAGTTTTATCGTCCTAATAATATGTGGCAAAGAATACAAAGCAGGAAATTTCAAGTGCCCTTAATCTACTTTCTTCGCCTGCAGCATGACACAAAAGTTGAAGTTATTGTAGAGTAGGTAACCTCATAGAATTACCGAGCTTTTGGATTTTTTCATCGTCCCATTCTCTAGAAGAGAGGAAACACGATGTTTCGGAAACTAGAACTGTATCCGTCCTCAAGTGAAGGGATATGACACCTACTCAATCAATCTTTCTAAGGGACTCAACTGAGTGTCTCCCACCCCCACTTGAGGATGGAAACAAATCCAGTTTACGAAACGTTGTGCTTCTATTTTCTAGAATACAGGATGATGGAAAAAGTAAAAAAAAAACAGCAACAATTTTGTATTATACACCATCACCAAAACCCTTTAAACTCCAAGTAACCTCATAATTATGCATATCTTTAGCTCGCATATAGATTGGACATGGGATTTAAAATGTCGTGAAATGCATTGTAGCAAGCTTTTCCTTTTTTTAATCCTCTCCTCGCCTTCCTATTCTCAACGCAATGATTTAACTTCGGCCTTGAGATTATTATACTTACTTACTTACTTACTTACTTACTTACTCATGGAGCTGAGCCCTTCTGGACGAGCGGCCAATTCTGCAGCTACTCAAGAATTTCCCAGCATTTTATGGAACCCGAAGGATTTTCCCCGTGTTCACAACAGCCATCCACTGGTCTCTATCCTGAGTCAGATCAAGCCAATCCATAACATCCCATCCTACCTCTCTAAGATCCATTTTAATATTTTCCACAACCCTACGCCTTGGTCTTCCCTGTGGTCTCTTTCCTTCTGTCTTTCCACCAATATCTTATGCGCATTCCTCGCCTCCCGTATTCGTGCTACATGACCTGTCCACCTCATCCTCCTTGACTTGATCATTCTAATTATACTTGGAGAAGAGTACAAGTTATGAAGCTCCTCATTGTGCAGTTTTCTCCAACCTCCTCTCGCTTCATCTCTCTTTGATTCAAATACTCTCCTCAACACCCTGTTCTCAAACACCCTCAGTCTATGTTCCTCCCTTAACGTCAGAGACCATGTTTCACACCCATACAGAACCACAGGCAAAATTATAGTTTTGTATATTCTAATTTTTATGTTTTTGGACAGCAGACGAGAAGTCAAAAGGTTCTGGACTGAATGGTAGCAAGCATTACCCGAGTTCAATCTCCTCTTACAATATAAAAACTGTACAAGTTGTAGGTAAGTGGGTTATTTCCTTATTCATCTGGAGCTTGGAAACATTTATGTAGTAAACCTGGCATTGTGGCCCGGACGTGTTTATTTCGCTTCTTCTCTCTAAATAAGTATGTGGATAAGTTGCGATAAATCGACCTTGGTTGTAATCGTTCGTAGACAAAAAAGTCACCTATTTGTGTCGACAGAAAGTAGTAGAGAAACATACCTCAGTTCAATCAATTTCTACCGCGCATGCATCCAAGGAATTTGTCTATGGAATTTATTTATATACAACTTTTAAAACATTTGAAGACTGTCAGGTAAATGGGATTAAATATCTCGAAGGTCGATTATCTTCACACGTTATATGTGTCGTCCAGTGCCAGATACTAAATTAATAAATACTGTTATTGGGAGGGGGGATACTTTTAACGAGCCGAAATTCAAAGAGCAGTAGATGTAGAAGAGAAGCAGGAGAATTAATTAAAAGTAAACTAAGTTAGCATGAACTATCATGTATGGTTGGAATACCAAAAGGCATATTTCTTATAATTAGACACTGATGTCACATGAAAGAACACATGATTGGTTGACATAGGCCGTTATACAAAAACCGTTTTATACTTGCCTCCACTTCTCACGCATGACACAAGAATACACATAAAAATAAACGAATACTGTGCCTAGATAATGACAGGAAACCAAATTGTTTAAAATGACAATTGGTCAGACTAATGAGAAAAAGCTTAAAGTGTGAACTAATTTAAACAGATTTCGATTGGGGCTTCCTAGATGCCTAATACTTAATATTTTGCATTTCCATATAATTCTAAAAAATTTTGCAATAATATTTCGTTTAAAGGAATACTGTTAACAAACAGTAGAATGAAAAAAAAACGAAAAAGCCTAATAGCAGATAATTTTTCTGGGCATCGAGGGCAGATACAAAACACAGCAATGTCTAGAGTGATTTTCCGAACATACCTTCGGCTGGCAGTTTGGTTGAACTGGTACTCATGCACGTTTCCATGTCGGCTGAAGGGACGCTGAATTTCGTTGTGGTTTCACCTGAATCGCTGACAGACACTATGAAGTCCGTGATTGTTGACAAAGGCGAATCCAGATTACTTTCCTCAATTAGCGACACGTTTTCTAGTTCCAGCAAATCAACAGGTACCTCCCCAGGATGCTTCCCACTTTTTATCCAGGAGTCAATCCTCTTAGCTCGAACGGCCTGGTTCTCAATAATACGTCGACGCTCACGTTGAATGTCTTCCAGTGAAGAGTCGACATCGAGAAGGCTGACGTCCGGCAAATTCTCGCGAAGTTTTTGCTTCTGTTCCTCATACTTCTTCATGATCTGCGCACCGATGTTACGAGTCGTATCATCATCGCCTTCACCAGGCGCATTCTCGTGCCTCATTGGCTTCACGCTTGCTACAGGGCAGTTCACGTAATACTGGGAGCCGTACGCCATCTTTACTGTCTCTACAGACCGATCAACTGCACATAAAAATTCTGGTTCTTCAGTATTATGACCCTCATCTTCTTGATTTGCTTGTCCAAGTTCGGTAGAAGGCAGAATTCTTGTCTCCCATGTACCGTCTTCAGAGATTTCAATGACCGATGCTTCTTCCAATTCCCCATCTTTTACATTTTCATAGTTTTTATCAGGAATATCACGAATCTTGGTTTCTGATTCATTGCCTGTGTTTTCCTTTATGATCACTGTCGATTTTGGAAACATTTCATTAATAGAACTCGATATCTCGTTTGATGAAGAGCTTCTTATTTCTGCACTCTCATCATTATCTGAACCGTCTCCACGGGTGATTGCGGCTGTATCATTTTCAACAAACTTCTTAAAGTCCTCACAAGCTGACAAACGTTTGTCTATTGCATTGTTCACACTGGCCTCTATGGAAGTGTCATTAGAGTTTTCTGCATAAAGCATGGTTGGGTCCTGGATATCTATACCTTTTGAACTGTTTTCGTACGAAGTTACGAAAATATCGACTCTGGTATGGACCGACTCAGGTTTACACGAATTTATGCAGTTGTGACCTTCAGTGAGCTTCTCGGTTTCTCCATAAGAAATTGTGTGCTTATCGACCTTTATATCGATGAAATTGCATCCACAAGAAGCTATGCAGTTGTCCAACTTAGTGTTGTCTGTATCGTTTCCACAAGAAGTTATGCAGTTGTCCAATTTAGTGTTGTCGGTATCGTTTCCACAAGAAGCTACGCTATTATCGATCATATGATCCATTTTATCCAAACATTCAGGAACTCCGGCTTTATCTACTTCGAAGGAATTCAATAAATTATCATTTGCTTTGATCGGGGCGTATTGAGATGGACCAACACAATTGTTAACTTTAGTGTCGACTGAATTATCTTCATGTGAAGTTATGCAATTATCTATTGTAGTATTGTTCTTTTTGTCTTCGCAAGATGTTATATTGTCGCTAGACATATCTTCAAAGGACACGCCCGTACCATTTGCTTTGTGATTGATTGCGCTACTTTTCGAGGAAGCGTCATTGCAAGAGATTTGAGTATGATTTGAATCCTGTTCGCTGGAAGCATTGCAATTTGTATTCTGAATATGACTGCCCGCATTTCCAGCCCCAGAAAACCCATTCTTATTATTCATATCGACGTCTGTGACACCACTCATCTCGTCGTTTGTTCCTTTCACACTATGAAAAGATGCATTTCCCTCTTCACGCAGTATGACAGAGACGTGCGGTCTGCACTTCTTGCGTTTAGGTTTCACGACTGTCGAGTATATCACTTCAACTGGAAGGGTAAAAATCTCTTCGTCGAATTCTGTCTGTGGGTTCCAGCAGATATTCTCGTAGTCTTGGAAGCCTTCTGGAGGTTTCAGTTTTCTTGCGTCTGATTCGTCGATGCTGACGAGATTTGTATTGAAGATTGCTCCTGGAGGAACTTCGTATATATTTGGGTCTGGACTGATTGTTTCAGTTTCACTTTGGAGCAAACCCAAGAAGATATTTACTGGACTCTGATAAGAGACATGTTCGTAAATATGCTCCTTGTCTTCGCTTACAGATGCCGAGCAATTCTCATACAATGGTTCCTCATACTTGGCATTTTCGTACAGGTGTTCTTTTCCAACATCTTGAGATCTGGAAATTAAAGAAACGAAGGTTTTATACCAGTACATCGTAATCTATGACTTACGGGTAACATAAGAGGGACTTCTAATATTGTATCTTAAAAATGCTTACATTAGTTGCAAAATTACCCAACAATACAAATTCAATATATTCATGTTATTCATATTTTATATATTAGAAGTGACAAGAAGACGAGGAAGAAGACGTAAGAAGATGCTGGATGACCTTGGGGACAGAAGAGGATATTATCATTTGAAGGAGAAAGCTCTAGATCGCATTAAGTGGAGGAATTGTTTTGAAAGAGACTGTGGACCTGTCGTCTTGACAGTTTACTGATGATGATGATGATTATATATTGAACGGAAATAGAAATTCAATGAACTCTAAATCTGATGAACTGTTGAGGGCGGTCAAGTTATTAGACCAGGATGTTTGGGGTGGGGGAGGATTGAAACTCGAATTATTCATGCAGAAGGTGGCAAAATACTTTATACAAAAACGTCGTCTTTGTATGCAACTACATATACGTTAAAAAATAGTTATCAATAATTACACTGATTCGGTTGAGATTCAGGTGGTCAAAGATAGTAATGAATTACAAGACAAGGAGTAACAGGCAGAACAATGGAATGCTTGAAAGAGAAATTGATGGCAGTGCAGACATGAATATGCTTAATATTTTAAAACATGAAAAAAAGAAGAAAAATTACAAGGCATCGATAATTTTATAGTTCAGTTAAAGTAGGTAATGAGAGACTTATAACTATCACTGCCTGTAATTGTCTTCACAAAGTATAATGCTAGATGAAAACGTAAAGTTATTCTCATTGGTTAGCAGACGTTTCGGAACCGGATCTGGCCCATGGACCAGCTGTTTTCTCTTGCGAATTTCCATGTTTTTCTGTATTCCTTCCAGGTAACAGCTAGAATCGGCCATTATAACAGGCCACGACTTCTTATTTCTATATCGTTCTCAGTAAATTATTCAAAATCGACGTTATAGAACCTTGTTACTTAAAAAAACGGCATTGAATGAACCAGAATTAAACATGAAACATAAATATCATTTCTATCCTTATGAGAAACCTATTAATAATTTTATCCGATTAAATGATTTTAAAAAAGGCCAAAAACTACTACTTTATTATTCAGTTTGGATTTAAAAGTAATAAGAACTTTCAAAATTCAGTGAAAGCGACTGTAAGTCTTGGTATATTAAGGACAGGTTCAACTGTAAACCCGTATTGTATGCCAGACTGTCATCACGCGTGTTCCTTAACACTTCAATTGTTAACATGTACTCATTATGCGTTTTCACTTTTAACACTAAAGATCACAATATTCTATGTATGCTAGTCAGAACACTGGGTGCACGCAATGCGTCACACTTTTTTAAAATTTCATGGTTTGCTGGTCCAATTACGTCGTCTCTCAACGCGATTTTTATGCGGTCACCCGAACGATCTTAGACAAATTAATGTATAGTGAAACGAAGTTATATACAGCAACATCCCCATAAATATTCACAGCTTTCACATTATATACTTTATTCAGAAAATGTGCCTGTTCCTTTCTTCATGGGAGACTATATTTTCACGGTTCAGAAAGTAGTTAATAATGCGCAGGAAGTAACAGTGCATATCATTAACCGTGGTCGGAAATAACAGTCACGTTTCTACACTCTTCTTTGAAATTCCTACCATCAAACATATTTAGCCGTTACTTGATGTACTTTCCGTCCTATAGCTTTATGAAAGAATTCAGGCCAAAACATCATGTTCCCGCATGCATGAAAAGTCAGTCAAATGCGCAGGCGTATTTGAGATAAGGCAACAAGCGAAATGTGTGTAAGAGGTACGCAATAACCACTATTATGGATTTCCAAATCCTTCGCAATCTGGACGTTATTTTCCCTCGACAGCTCTGGGGCCCACTCAACATCCTATCCAATGGGTATCGGGGGCTATTTCCTAGGGAGTAAAGCGGCCGGGGCCTGTAGCTGACCACTTACCTCCAGCTAGTGCCGAGGTCAAGAAAATGTGGATCTATACATCCACTCCCCCATACGTCTTCATGGTGTAGTGCTTAATTAGTTAAGCACAGAGACAACTTTATCTCTTTATATTTACTCTCAGATATAAATGTATACAGTACCAACTGTGGTTAGATAAACTGTACCTCTTCCTTCCCTTTGCTTGATTTCGTTTAGTGCTTTCGGATATACGTTATTTAAGATGTCGAAAAGGGCGTTGATTCTTATATACATGAAAGTGATCACCCATGTCGAACACCGAGAAAGGATACATAGATATTCCTCTCCTTCCATACAAACACACAATTCTCCTTCTGTAAAGGCGCGTCCACATTACTCGTGTTGCTCGTGCTCGTGTGACTCGCTATGCTCGCGAGTAATGTGGACGATATGACAAGTCACGAGACAAGCAAATTTTAAATTTAAAAACTATAGACAATAAATTAAAATACGACTACAGCCTATACACACTACGAGTAAATATATGGATCCTCACGCGCCGAAGGCTGAACTGAAGTAGTGTGGACAAAGATTTACGAGCATAAGTAAAAGCCAGACGAATCTCCCGACGAGCACAAGCCTGGCGAGTACGAGCACGAGTAATGTGGACGCACCTTAAAAGTCACAGAGGTNTGAGGTCTCTTTCCTTCTGGCTTTCCCACCATTATCCTGTATGCATTCCTCTTCTCCCCATTAGTGCTACATGCCCTGCCCACCTCATCCTCCTTGACTTGATCATTCTCATTATACTTGGAGAAGAGTACAAGTTATGGAACTCCTCATTGTGTAGTTTTCTCCAACCTCGGGTCACTTCATCCCTCTTTTGTCCAAATATTCTCCTCAACACCCTGTTCTGAAACACCCTCAGTCTATGTTCCTCCCTTAATGTCAGAGACCAAGTTTCACAACCATACAGAATCACAGGCAAAATTATAATTTTGTAGATTCTAATTTTTATGTTTTTGGACAGCAGACGAGAAGACCGAATGGTAGCAAGCATTACCAGAGTTCAATACAGGTAACGGAGGTAAAGGTTTTCATGCTTATTCCTGTCTGTTCTATTCTCTCAGATTACTAGGACAATAACTTAAAAGAGGTCAAAGATGTTTTATGGGTTATTTGCTTGTTGTGCATGAAACGAACGCATGTACTGTTGGTCGTGTCTATCTGTCTGTCTGCAAGTTTCAACTTGAGAACCGCTGGACGAATTTTGTTGAAATTTCTTACGGGCATTTTGTCATTGAGACATACCCAACTCTTCCTTTTTAATTTCCTGTAATCAGTAATGCCAGCATGTCGGAAGCATGAACTTGTTAGGTTGGAGCCAAATTAAAGTCAGTTAATAAAAAAACCTGAAATTTGAAAATTTGAAAATTTTGAAAGAAACATGGAACTCTTGTTAAGGAAAATTTGAAGGACAACTTAATGGCGACTGAGCGAAATCTATGGTCAGTTCTAGGTTTGAAAGCGAAAACTAATGTTACATTAGAGCACGCGGTAGCGTAGCTGGTTGAGGCACTGTGCTACAAACCGGAAGGTCGCGGTTTCAAGTCCCAATGTAGTCACTGGATTTGTTTCAATTGGCCTAATCCTTATGGCCGCACTATGGCCCTGGGATCATCTCAGCCTCTAACAGAAATGAGTGCCAGGAATCAATTAAATAATTTTCCTGGAGAATAAAGCGCGGCCGGTAAGTAAGGCTGACACCCTTACCGCCATCTTTGAGCCGATTGTCTAGCTAATGTGGGACCCTCAACGTCTCACAACCCTATGGGCCTTCACGGCATGTTACAAGGATAGCTTTACTTTGTCTTTACTTTTTACATTACATTACATTACATTACATTACATGTCAAATTTGGTATGTAACCGGTCATAAACACGTGTACAAGATCTGCATTATATATTGCGTTTATGAACACATGTACACGGTCTGTATTAAATATTGCGTTCATAAACACGTGTAAAAGGTCTGTATTAAATATTGCGTTTAAGTCAGTAATTACAAATATGACGAAGGGGCGAATCTGCAATGAAAATTGTGACAAATTTAAAGTCCTTTAAAATAGGAGAATAAATAAATAATTGCTATTTGATATTGTTAATATTTCATAAAGCTTGCTTGTAAGAGCCGGGACTATTCAGAATGCAAAGTTGCAAAGAGCGGCTCTGGAGACTGTGTGTAATCCGATGTAGATTACTCAGTTCCAATCTTATCTATCAGGTTCTATCTTTCAATATTCATATCTATATTGTTATTCGAAGCTACATGATTGAGGTGGATGAGAAAATATTTTGAAATTAAATAAATTAAAAATACCTTACATCGAATTATAAGCTATGTAAGACTGATAATGGCTGGCATTATATCTTCGGACAAATGAAGGAAAAACATGGCCTCTTATCAAATTTACTTTACGAATCATATTCTATGGAGGTTGCAAGACGTTCCGAAATCCCTGAAGTTGGGACTCTGTCGTTAGATAAATAATTAAACCAGGAAATTATTTGCGACATACTTCTGTAAAAGTAGATTAAAGCACTTGCTTACTGTCTAATCCTGTACTAGATATCTCGAAGTTCTGCATCAAAGCCTGCCACTCAAAAACGATTCTGAACCACTTTCAAGCACCTCTCATTCCTACGACCTATTTCCCTAAGACTAATCTCAATGTTTTCGTTCCACGTTCTTTCAATTTTCAAGTAGGCACTCTTTGAAGGGTGTCTATCGAAAGAATTCTGTGCACATTTATTCTCCTCTCCCTCTGAGCTACATGTCCAGCCAATTGTGACTTATATTTTACTATAGCAGCAAACATTATGTGACCTAAATTCACTTCAAATTTATCATGTACAAATATGTTCTTAACCATTTCTTTTTGAATGCGATGGCATAGTTAGTTGAGACACTATGCTACAAGCCGGAAGGTTGCTGAACTATGGCCCTGGGTTCGATTCAGCTTTAACATAAACGAGTACCAAGATTCTTTCTGGGCGTAAGGGGTCCCCGGCGTGTATGTCTAACAACCTCACCACCAACGTAAGCCAATTTTGTAGAAAAGTGGGAGCCTCGACTTCTCACAACTCTATGGACCTCCACGGCCTGTTAGTGAAATAGCTTTATCTCTTTATTTACCTTCTTTTCAACGTTTATAATTTATGAACATCTCTGAAAATAAGAGACCAATTTTGGCAATATGCTTCAAATGAAACTTATAAAATAAAATATTCTCGGAAATGCACAGGGAATTATCTGCTGTATTCTACTGCATAAGGCTGAATATATTAAGCAACTTCTACCTTTGATTTTCATACAGAGGATCTTCAGTTAGTTCCACCAGGTTGCAGTAGATTCTATCTTCCTGTAGACCTACTTCAGAGTCTTGAACTGGTTCCGGTGCTTGGGTCACATTAGTCTTCACCTCCGTAATGACACTTTCAGTCTTGTCAGCATCAGTCCTCTTGTCCCCGAAGTCCCAGCTCACGTCCTCGGGTGCAGCAGTTATGACCAAGCCACTGCAGGAATCCCTCTCTTCCCATGCGAATTCTCCAGGTTTCTCAAACTCTCCGTCTTCCTTCTAAAGAAAAGAAGCAAAATACGTAGGTCAATTCAGAAATAATGCACACAATTTTTTGTTTACGTCCATGTTTATTATTTTAATATATCTTTACAGTCCTTCAATATAGTTCCCCTTCTCCTCAATGACCGAGTCCCAACGTGTGGGAAGCTTTACTATCCCATCCAGGACACCATCTTTGTTTATCTGTCGAATGGCTCGGGTGACTGCAGCAGGAAGCTCTTCCAGAGAGGGAAAACGACGGCCTCGCATAGGTTTTGTGAACTTTGGGAATAAGTCGAAGTCTGATGGACTCACGTCCTGGCTGTAAGGAGCATGAGGCAACACCTCCCAACCGTTTTGGGGCAGCTTTTCTGTTACGACATTCCCGATGTGTGGGAGAGCGTTGTCATGGAGAATGATCGGCCCAGCCTCGAGCAACTGAGATCGGTTTTTGTGCATTTTTCTGCGTAGATTTTGCATAAAGTCACGATAATAAACTGCTGTGACACTTTTCCCGCACGGAACTCTCTCTGTCATGATGATTCCTTGGTGATCATAAGCACTTGACCAGACCCGAGATCAAACCTGGGCCGCGGTGGGAAGTCAGCGACTAACCGCTTGAGCTATGGCGCGTCCCCATCAACCAGTAACACCACACCCAACAAACACGGACCAATAACAATATAACTGCACCGAAATCTACGCATAACGGGGCTCATCACGCATTTAACATCCAAAGCACATTTTAATTCATCGTAAAGAACACCGGAACCAGTAAACACGAGTGATCAACATCAGAACTATACCGGATGCCCATAGCTAATAAGTGCACTGCAGTTTCCATCCTCTGAGGAGAGAAATTGGAATTGTCATCCGCTTCAAATTTAAATATAAAAAGTAAAAGCTCTCTCTGTACCAGGCCGTGAAGGCCCATAGGGTTGTGAGACGTTGAGGGTCCCACATTTTCTAGACAATCGGCTCAAAGATGGCGGTAATGTTGTCAGCCTTACGCGCCGGCCGCGCTTTACTCCCCAGGAAAATTATTTAATTAATTCCTGGTACTCATATCTGTTAGAGGCTGAGTCGATCCCAGGGCAATAGTGCGGCCGAAAAGATTAGGTCAATTGAAAAAAATCCAATGACTTCATCGGGACTTGAACCAGCAACCTACCGGTTTGTAGCATAGTGCCTCAACCAACTGCGCTCCAGTAAAAAAATGTCAGCACTATAAATTGTAACTTTCAACCTTTAATTAATTTTAATTTGAGCTTCGTTCGATAAAAGGGCGACATTTTGAAATATTACATTATATTACGTGCCTGAGGATGACCATGTAAGGCCGAATTATGCATTAATAACGATAACAAATGAATGAACGATAAGGATAAGGAATGAATGAACTAAAGCATGTGATATGTGTATGTCAAAATAAACACGCAGCCATTGAAACACTGCACTAATAAGACTAAAAATAAATAATTAATTAATGCAACGGGATTTATAATATAGTAATATTATGAACAACGGTACACTGTAGATTACTCTTCACTGAAATAACCTATTATTTTATCTTTATTGTTTGCATCTTGTTGTGTGTCATTATCTGCGATACGCTGTCCGTCAAGACAACATATATTGCAAAATAAACCAATCAAATTACTTACATTGGTTTTTATTTAATAACTGCTACATGTTTCGATCCATATTTTGGAACACCCTCTGACGGTTTCATTAAATATGTCTCACGTTAAAGAAATATCCTAATATGGATCCGTATTAGTGTTAATAATTATAATCATCATAATACATGAAATTATTACTAAAATTCTGAAAAGACTTTCAATTGTTTTAAAAGCGTCATCGTTAAAACTTAAAATTCTGTGCTGTGTTATTTGTCGCGTAATGTAGGTGGTGTCCATTTTCCGGGGTTAGTTGTTGTGTTTTTAGAAGTTTTCGGTTCTATTCATATTTGGGTTTTTATTAGGATTTTAATTTTTATGTTTCTTCTTTCCTGTTTGAATGTAGCGTCGTGAATTGAGTTTTTCTCTGTACAATGTGCTGTGTACTTCTTATCGTGTGGACGTTTGTTTTGCGTTGTTCTTATAACTCATTACTGTTACTTTCCTGCTCCGAGAATCAGAAAACTCACGGTACTACTGTTCAATTGTAAGAATTAGCTTGACCTCAGTTTATGCTTTCATGACTGTAATGACTAATTGGTAACTCAGCTGGATCATGATTTTTTATCAAATATATGTTATTATGTTCTTCAGAAAACATGAACAGGCTTCAGATAAAATCACAGCTTCTGTGTTCCAGATATTTCTTCTAGATGGATGTGATGTTTGTAATGCAGAGCACATGATGTTGAACGAAATGAAGAACCATTACTAAAGATAAGTTTTGTTTACTTTAAACAAATGTATTTAAATATAATCCTCTTATTTATATTTATTTTGTTTACTGAAACCTTGTATCCGCTATAATGTATACTTTACATGAGACATAAAATTATATTAGTTTATAAACTGGCATATTTTAACGTCATTTACCTTCAATTGGATGCGCTAGTAGCCCTGTTGAACGCCTACAAAATTCGCCCCGTTCCTGTGTACACACGAAAGAACTCCACTGTGGATAAACAGATTTTGACTTAATTTGAGACCGGGGAATCTTACCAAAATTTTCGAGATATTTCAAATCAGATCCAACTGTTCTGATGCATATTTTACACGAAGGCCTCTATGCTTCTAGCCTCGTACCATGAGCGTTCTTCTGTACACATTCATTCAATCAAAATATATTTCGGACAAAATTTGTAGAAGATGAATGAAACATGCATTCTGTTTCCCATAAACTTTTCTTGTACACCTTACAGTCAGCGAGATAATTAAAGAAAAGTAACAGAATATCCCCAAGTTGTTACGCTATTGCGAAAATTTAGGTTGATAATGACCAATCAACAATGGCCTTCATCTCTTCTGTAGTACGAGTAGTTGTGTGATTTTTGAAACAATCCTTCTCAATGTACGATGATCTCTTTCTGTCGATGTTAATTTTCGCCCCGTGTTCCTCTTCGCTGATGTTGTCTTCCCATGACTCGCGTAGCCGACATGACCTTAGAAAGTGTCGCTATCGATAAAACTAATATTGTGGCAGGTCTTATGCGAGATGTTCCAGATAAACGCGCAGCAACGATATCTTTCAAAATTGGACAAGTCTCAATTTTCCAATTCTCTCACATGGACTGTCACTCAACACAATCACTAATGCGCTGACAAGAGCACTACAGAGTGAAAGAAGAATTTTCAATGTCGCCAACTAAAATTCTTTCAATGTAGCCAACACAAAACAAATTCTATTCGTCAATTTCTTGGTGCTTCCATTATTTTGTTCAACTTCTCAATTGATTTGATGCCCCACACGTCATTATCACGGCCTCGTTACATTCGTAAGAATTAAGAATAAGTTCCATGGCGTGCAAAAATTTTTAATATCAATATATTGTTTACATGTTTCGGCCAGTATCGGCCAGTATCGGCCATCAGCAGAAGGCGACCAGATACAGACCGAAATATTTAAAGGCATTATTCATATTAAACTTTATTGCACGTGATGGAATTCATTCTCCATTCTTATGTTGTATATTGTAACGATTCAAGAAAATGTCTCTTATAAAAATCTGTTACAATCATATAATAAACTGCAACACAGACCAAATAATATTTATCTTCCACGTTGAACTCGACAAGGGTAAAGCGACAAGGCAAATTCATCCATCTCGCCAGATGAAACACTGTAACACTTTTCACAACAGTAAGCAAATACCAGTTCTCCTTGTCTTCATCACGCATGCCTCAGCGAATTCATCAGTTCAAAACATATTGTACATGTTTCTAGGTCACTTCAATAACACGCTGTAACGCACTTTCTGAAATACCCGTTGAATATAAGCAGGGATATCGACAACGAACGTGCACGTATGATGCACGTACGCCGATGAAACAGATTGTCCTTTTATAGGAGCGTTACTCAATAAGGCGCAAGCGTGTGCTAGCATCGTCTGTCTGTCTGTCTGTCTGTCTTGTAGGCCCACGCACTGGTTAGCCTTGCTTTGAATTAACGGGACCTAGATGAAACGTGTAATTTCGAATATTTCTTTTATGAAATACCCGCCTGATATGGTCTGGATCCAAGTCGGTAATATGGAATACCACTACAGAACAGGAAATGCTGTTTATATGCACTCAGTAACAACTGGATGTATCGAAAATATCTCTTACATGGGTCGCAGCTTCGAATGACATGAATGCATCGCACTGCATGGGTAACATTCGTCTCCCATGTCTTGTTTCTTTTCAGAAAAATATCGTCAAAAAATAAAGTGATGTTTCTTTTGACTTGGTCCATCCTGGTCCGTCATACTAGTAATAGTATAAAAGATTATTAACGCCGTCCAGTGTGACTGATAAATATTGTATATTTTTCAATCTTTCATCCTTTACATGTTTCGGTCGGAGGGACCATCTTCAGAAGGACATTATAAATACACGCGGAAACTATTATGACAATATCATAGGTCATTATCAATACATAAGGAAACTATTATGACAATATCATAGGTCATTATCAATACATAAGGAAACTATTATGACAATATCATAGGTCATTATCAATACATAAGGAAACTATTATGACAATATCATAGGTCATTATCAATACATAAGGAAACTATTATGACAATATCATAGGTCATTATCAATACATAAGGAAACTATTATGACAATATCATAGGTCATTATCAATACATAAGGAAACTATTATGACAATATCATAGGTCATTATCAATACATAAGGAAACTATTATGACAATATCATAGGTCATTATCAATACATAAGGAAACTATTATGACAATATCATAGGTCATTATCAATACATAAGGAAACTATTATGACAATATCATAGGTCATTATCAATACATAAGGAAACTATTATGACAATATCATAGGTCATTATCAATACATAAGGAAACTATTATGACAATATCATAGGTCATTATCAATACATAAGGAAACTATTATGACAATATCATAGGTCATTATCAATACATAAGGAAACTATTATGACAATATCATAGGTCATTATCAATACATAAGGAAACTATTATGACAATATCATAGGTCATTATCAATACATAAGGAAACTACTATTACAATGTAACGGATATAAAATATTATCCTGTAACGATTACAGCGATGTGCATGAACTCATTAAAACATTTACAAATTTTTATAATTATTCTATTTACAAGTATGGTTTAAGGAACTCTTGTTAAAAGTTAGAACCAATTCGGTTCGTGACCTTCATATTGCTTCTATTTAGAGGAAGATGAGTGTCCACCACTTCGTGGTTCCCTTGTTTGATGAATAGGATCATTTAGTGTCCTCCAGTTGTTTGGGCCGTGCTGTGTTGTCATACATCAGTATACAACACTTATCAATCACACTGGAAGGCGTTAATAATCGTCCACATTGATGTTTATTTTTTGTGCACTTAGCTGAACTGAATTTGTTCTCTGTTACCACAGAGATCTACTCCACATAATTAAACAAGATTTTAAGTGGATGTGTGGCTGCGTACCTCTGACTCTATTTTGTCGCTTCTATTCATTAAACCTCAGTGGGTGACGCTGAACAATATGATAATTCTACTCCCTGCTAAGCACGTAGAAGCTACGAGTGTGACAGCAGGCATCACTCGCTTTGCAATACCTCAGCGGGATAATTGATGTTCACGTGAAAAAATATAATTAAGGGAGCCAGAATATATTTCTCAAAACTTGGAAGACAATAAAAATTTTAGGCATGACAATATTTTGTCAATCATATGCAAACTGAAAGAGCCGCGGTAGACTTCTTCTAAATTACGAAGATTTCTAGTTCTTTCATTTATACGTGATAGAGTCGTTAAATTCGTGGAATGTGGTTTTATTGCATCGTATTACAAGGTATTCACATACACTTACGCAGATCCACATCGGCCCTCAGAATAGTTGCCGTTGGCCACTATGCAAATCTGTCAACGTTGATATAGCTGTCGAAAACATTGCTGAAAAATATTGGCAGTAAATTACTGTACTGCGCTTTGCGGCCATTCCACGAACTTATTTGTTAATGTTGTGTATAAAATATAAATTTATAATCAGCAATGTCACGTAGAGCCTAATTTAGCTCTCGGTTTAGCGTAGTGGACTGATGCACGGGTGGCTGTAAGATCGAATCCTAGTCGAATCAGCGTCTTATTGTTTGCAGCTGTGAATACCAGTACAGATTATTATTACTGAATTAATTAAACTATTATTATTATTGCTATTATTGTTATTATTATTGATAATGATCTATTTGAAACTTGAATTGTTCTTTGCTGTCACATTCTGGTTTTGTCTGTGTGCGTTTGTTTCTGTATCTTTATTCATGTTGACTTTGTAACTGGCTTTGAGCTGTTAAGTTAGCATATAAATAAATAAGGATTGAATTGGATTATTATCTCCCCCGAATATCTGAACCTGCTATATAATTCATTCTGTACCTGGTTGGCGCGCTGCTAACTGTATACAATTCATCATTAGTAAAACTGAAGTTAAACCATTCTCAAGGAAAACTAGTATACTAGTCTATGAATAAACTCTGTCAATCCTCTATAATCCTAGGAGTATTTTTGGATTCTGAAATTCATTTTCATAATAATGTCAGCTATATATTTTCTCAATGAATTAAGTTTTGGGGTCCAGTTCACAATTTAAGTGCCTGTTTTTAATTCCTCGTATCTCCATACGTATTAAGTTCCACCGTAGTGGGGTTAGTCAAGCGGTTAGTCACTGGCTTCCCGCCGAGGCGGTCCGGGTTCGATCCAGGGTCTGGTCAAGTGGAATTTGTGGTGGGTAAAGTGACGCTGGGGCGAGTTTTCTCCGAGTACTTCGGTTCCCCTGTCAATCTTCATTCCACCAATTGCTCCACAATCACCCTTGCCTATTATCTGGGGCTGGTACAATAGGCCAGAAGTGGCCGCAGTACAGGGAGTTAGTCCCACCCCACTAGCAATAAAGAAAAGTTCCACCCTAGTTAGATTTAACCTTGTTTGGAATTATATTATGTCTGCTGACGATAAGAAACCGGAAACCATCGAGAAGAAATTTGCAGTTCAGTTCTTTTCATGTCACAGTCACATACCACCTTCTCAGATTGCGGGTGGAGCGATGACTCTTCGACGTTGAGAGCCTACGGGTATGTTGGAGGCGTATGTAGTTTCTCAGCTTGGGTACAGAACGTACGGCAATAACATCTAATTATATAACCATAGCATGTTACGAAATGTCAAGGATGTTTTCAGCCTAAGTATAGTTATCAATCGTTTCTTCAAAGACGAAAACAGATCACACGGACTCAACTGAGGCAAAAGAAATAACAGAATAAAACAGAATGGTTCTAGGCAACAGTTTGTCTCACATGTTTCAATTATTTTAAAGTGATCATTCTACTTCTGCGACAGCTATTAAATTTCACATTTGTGGGATTTTTAAATAACATATGTTAAATTTATGTATGTGCATATTGCAGTCACGTACAAATCGTGTTATTAAACCATTAAATTCATTCATGCAGTCAAATCAGACAAATATTTTTAGTCTATGAATTTATTATATAACTTACCCTTCACATTGTTGTCATTTTAACTATTGTACATTTGCTGTATTAAAAGGCATACAAAGATCAAATAATTAGACACATGAATATATGAAAGTGGTACGAATTTTCATATATGAAAAAAGTTAAATAATAGATCAGAATTCAAAGGACAGATACTTATGGCCTACAGTGTTTTCCTCTAAACATACTCATACCTCACAAAATATATGTAGTAATTATTAGGTTATGCTGGTTAACAGTAGGTTCAAAATGAAGTTTCTGTTTTCACAACACAAAGAGCACGCATGTTGGTACTGTGTGGCTATGTGACTTCTTCAATTGGAAACTTTCGCCTGAGCTTAGCAATTCTGCGGGCAGTTCAATGTCCTTGTCACCCATGTGAGATTTATGGAGCTATAATGGAGTATGAGGGCTACAGCCTGGTGCAGATGCTTGGCATTGCCGTCTGTCCCAGCGTAATGTAACGTAATTATTCAAGGTTTTGTTCCATTGAGTGTATTGTTCCATCTCCTTATTGGTATTGATTTGTGAGTACTGCTACTAGCCCCTTAAAAAGTCATCACTCGAAAATGTAGCGGGATTGCAGAACTACGTGTTTCGTCACAAGGTTAAAGAATATCACACTAGGAGGAAGAGTCAGTAAATAGGTTACGAATGGATATATAACGTAAAACTTGCGACATTTGAAGCTGAAACCCCCCATTTTTCTCTACATATCCTCCACCAAAACTGATACACTTGTCCAATCGCTTTCCCAGTCAGTCGAAACCAGCAGCATAAAGTCTTTTGACTGTTGTCTCAGCCACTTCCGCATCTCCGTTTCAACCTCTTCGTCATCAGCCAAACATTTGTCACCAAGATGGTTTTCAGCGCACCAAACAGATGGAAATCACTAGAGGCCAAGTCCGGTCTGTAAGGCGGATGTTCAAGAAGTTCCCACTGCAGTTCTTGTATTCTCTCCTGGGTTGCTCGGGCTGTAAATGGTATGCCATTGTTGTGATGAAGCAGTTCCCTCTTGTCAGTTGGCCTGAAAGTTTTCTGCGAATTGCATTCAGAAGCTTCACCAGAACTTCACAGTATGAAGCAGAATTCACATTTTTACCAGGCTTCTGAAAATGGGCTAATAGTACTCCCTGATAATCCCAAA